AAAAAAAAAAAAAAAAAAAAAGGCAGCGTGGAGAGAGAGGAGGAGGTCACAGGCCACACACAGTTAATTGCCTCAAGGTATTGGCTGGAAGTCAGGGGACCCAAAAAGATGTCACAGGCAGAGGTCAGCACAGAGGAAGTCCTAGGGTCTCAGAGAAACATCACATGTTGAGGCCTCTGCCAGTGGTTTTCCCTGTCCAGGGTACTCTCCCCTTCTTTCTTCACTTATATCTCCACATCATTCAGATCTCAGCTCAATTGTCATCTCCTCCAGGAAGCCTTCCCTGACCTCCTAAGTCCCTTCCTCCTGGGAAGCTGTTACAGAATCCATTACTGCTCCTTTCAAACCAGTCTCAAATGGAACTTTTATATGTATGTATGTGACGACTTGACTAATGCCTATCTCTGTCTCCTAAGCACACACACGCACACACACACACCACCACCACCACCACTATCACCAAATTAGCAGATTATAAATGCTGTGAAGGGAGGTACCATGTTGACATTTTTTTCTCCCCATTATATACCTGATATGTAGAAGAGTACCACCACACAACAGGTGCCTGATAAATATTGGTTGGGTTGGTGAATAGGTACATAGATGGATGAATGGATGGGTAGATGGTGGGTAAGTATGCAGATGAGTGAGTGAGTGAGTGGATGGATAGATCTCTGGATTGATAGGTCAAAGGATGACTAGATGGCAACATAAATGGAAGAGTGGATATATGAATGAGTAGATAGATGAATGGGTCAATGGGATGGATGGATGGATGGATGGATGGATGGATGGATGGATGGATGGATGGATGGATGGATGGTTAAGTAGATGGTTGGATGGTTAAGTGGGTAGATGGATGGATGGATGGATAAGTGGGTGGATGGATGGTTAAGTGGATGGATGGATGGTTAAGTAGATGGTTGGATGGTTAAGTGCGTAGATGGATGGATGAATGGATGAGTGGATGGATGCATGGATGGATGAGTGGATGAATGGTTAAGTAAATGGATGGATAGATGGACAGATGGATGGATGGATGGATGGAGTAGGTGGATGAGTGGATACATCTGACCAAGGGACAGATGATTGGTCAGATGAATCAATATTTAATGGAACAGTGGAGATCAGGAAAAGGATGCTGAAGAGGATAGGATGGGTAGAGGTCAGAAATTCTAGAAACAATTTTAGGTGAAGGTAAGGATTTATAGAGAAAAGCTGAGATCTCCTGGGGGTGACTACTGAGTAAAGGTCAGAAATCTCCAAGAGAAGTCGCAAGAGGTCCCATAAAGATCAGGGCAGAGGCAAAGAAGCTATGTGCACCTGTATGGAGATCAAGGATCAAGGGTCACTTACCACATCACCTGGGCACCCTCTTCTGACACCTCCACTGCCATTTCCACCCGGTCACCCACAAACACCTGCTGGTCCTCGAGAGGTGTGACAATCAGGACTGGAGGTTCTGTGGGGCAGGAGGACAGGAGGTCAGTCATTTCAGGACCCCCTCCAGAGTTCCAGTCCCTCTCCAGGCTCAGGCCTGAATCCAGCCTCACCTTTGACGAAGAGCTCAGTGAAACACTTCTCATCCTTCACAGCTACTTCATAGGCAGCGTCATCCGCCAACGTGCACTTGTTGATGGTGAGGATTCGCTTCTTACCAACGTTCTCAAACACGTACCTGATGCAAAAGTCTCACCTCAAACCAGGGCATGTAGCATCCACCTAGCCCTGGTAACTCTGCTCACTTGTTGTCAAGGCAAGTCTCTCTCTCTTAGAGCCAAATTGTGTGGAAAGGGATTGAGAGCCCAGTTTCAATTATTCATTTATTTGTATTTATTTTTGAGACAGGGTCTCACTCTGTTACCCAGGGTAGAGTGCAGTGGTGCGATCAGAGCTCACTGCAACCTAGACTTCCTGGGTCCGAGCGATCCTCCCACCTCAGCCCCTGAGTACCTGGGATCACAGGTACACACCACCATACCCAGCAAATTTTTTTTTCTCTTTTCTTGGTAGCTTCTAATTTTTTAATTTTTTTGTAGAGATGGTATCTCGCTATGTTGTCCAGGCTAGCAATTCCTATTATTTGAATAACCATGGCGGGACCGGTCGTGGTGGCTCACACCTGTAATCCTAACATTTTTCAGAGTCTGAAGTGGGCACATTGCTTGAAGAGTTCAAGACCAGCCTGGGCAACATGGTAAAACCTCATCTCTACCAAAAATACACCCAAAAAAATCAGTCAGATGTGTTGGGGCACTCCTGTCATCCCAAGCTACTTGGGAGGCTGAGGCAGGAGAATCTCTTGAACCCGGGAGGCAAAGGTTGCAGTGAACTGAGATCATGCCATTACACTCCAGCCTGGGCAACAAGAGCGAAACTCCGTCTCGCAACAAAATTAATTAATTAATTAATTTTAAAAAGGTTGTCTTGTGACGTGTTTGTTGTTGTTGTTGTTGTTGTTGTTG